ACTGGTCGTGTGATAAGGAAAGGGGGCGTATGATAAGAAAGAAGGGCGTATGATATGAAAGAGGGGCGAATGAGAAGGAAGAGGGGCGCTTGCTATGACAGAGGGGCGTGTGTTAAGGAAGAGAGGAATTTGATTAGAAGCGTTTATATACTACAAGAATAACTATGACAGTAAGCATTTGTTCATACGGAGCACAATATATTTTGGTACAGAGTGTTTCAGGGTCGCACCTAAATAGGATTTGTTATGTCAGTGACGATGTTGAGGCCAGACTGGTTTCAGGAAATCTACACGCACGCACTTACTGTGTACTGGGCGACATATCCGGAAGTGACTGCCCTCTTTCCGCGCACAGTATGGCGCACGAGGAAGTGGACATTACCATTACCAGGAAGGCAATACAATGACGACCGAATTAGCGCTGACAAGAGACGATAAACTCGCACCTACCGATCGACCACTAATCATACCACTGAGCCAAGGAGACATAACACGTTTTCTGTTAGACTTGAAACTACTTGGAAAGATTTCGTACCGTATAATTGATGAGGAATTATTTAATTAGAGCGTAGCATTCACGGCCACCTTTACTAGCTTTAGATTGATTTCAGCATGGTTAACACGAGTTAAATAGCACGTCCAACACAGTTGTCTCGTTGAAACAGACCGGAAAGATAAACAGTGTGTTATCTGGGGAGCTCTTCACCGACTCGTTCCGTATTGACTGAGTTAAAACCATTGGTTCCTGGAAATGAAAAGAAACCTCAAGAATGTTTCTAGACTAATTGCTTGTAAAACACAAGCCAAGTAGAAGACACTGTTGTGACTGTTCTTAAGGTGGTTAAGAGTGTCATATCATTATATATTTGAGTTAGAATTAGGATTCCGATACAATGGGCGGGTGAGTGACGGGTTTAACGCCGCTTTGAACACGATGTGGCAGCCTGATGCGGAGGACATCTCGAATTGATTCCGGTCTTAGATGTTGCTTTTTCTACTCTAGTGAAACCCACAAGCAAGGCTATGGATGCCGAAAAAACATAGAAACCTTATCAGGACGGGATTCGAACCCCACGACCATGTGCTTCTGGGATGAAAATTGTGCTAATTGTGGTACCTCATACGACGGGGCCACTCGTACCCCCCGATATTTTGAAAAAATAAATTGAATGCAATGATAAAACCTTGGCATGGCGCCGCGGGCTGCCTCAGAAAATGAGCGTTGTAGATATGTTCAGTGTTAGGGTTAGGTGTATTAAGTAACAGGTATGTTCAGTGTCAAGTATGTTCAGTGTCAGGTATGATTAGTGACAGGTGTGTTCAGTGTCAGGTTTGTTCCGTACCAGATATCTTCAGTACCAGGTATGTTTGGTAACAGGTACGTGTATGTTCAGTGTCAGGTATTTTCAGTAACCGGTATGTTCTGTAACAGGTAAGTTCTATGTCAGACATGTTCCGTACCAGGTATGTTCAGTAACAGGTATGTTCTGTAACAGGTATGTTCAGTGCCAGGTATGTTCAGTACCAGGTATGTTCTGTAACAGGTATGTTCAGTGTCAGGTATGTTCAGTGTTAGGTGTATTCAGTAACAGGTATGTTCTGTGTCAAGTATGTTCAGTGTCAGGTATGATTAGTGACAGGTGTGTTCAGTGTTAGGTATGTTCCGTACCAGGTATGTTCAGTGTCAGGTATGTTCAGTACCAGGTATGTTCTGTAACAGGTATGTTCAGTGTCAGGTATGTTCAGTACCAGGTATGTTCAGTGTCAGGTATGTTCAGTAACAGGTAGTTCAGTAACAGGTATGTTCAGTAACAGGTATGTTCAGTAACAGGTATGTTCAGTAACAGGTAGTTCAGTAACAGGTATGTTCAGTGTCAGTGTCAGGTATGTTCAGTAACAGGTAGTTCAGTAACAGGTATGTTCAGTAACAGGTAGTTCAGTAACAGGTATGTTCAGTGTCAGTGTCAGGTATGTTCAGTAACAGGTATGGTCAGTAACAGGTAGTTCAGTAACAGGTATGTTCGTACCAGGTATGTTCAGTAACAGGTATGTTCAGTGTCAATGTCAGGTATGTTCAGTGTCAGTGTCAGTTCTGTCCAGTGTAAGGTACACTCCAGAAATGGAGGACTGACAACAAAGGCAAATCTGATATTGTATTTCCTACAAGTGATAGATAACAGAAGGTCATGTGGCGTCGCCAAGACAACCCATGTACTAGCTTCTCTGATATCAGGTTGCCATGGTTGCGGTGATAACTATCCCCGGTGGCACTCGTACTTGGTTGATACCAGTACACACAGACTGTGGTTAAGATGCGTGTATAACAGGACGGGTCTTCCTGTGCTGATGCCAAGCGTTACTGTTCTTCGATCATGCTCTCTCATCTAGTACCAAGTCTGACACGGTGATCCAACTTTGCATGTTGTTTTACAGTTTTTTTGCGGCGTGTCAATATAACGCGGGGAAAAAGCCCGAAGTAACGCTGGACGTCCACGTATTCCTCTTTTCTGAACCCAATTCAACGCACTGACAGATACAGGACCATTATTAACCTTGGATTCAACCACACGATCAGCAGATCCTGGCGAAACCAATAGTTTGTGTTTGTTTGTTTGTTGTTTAACGCCGCACTCAGCAATATTCCAGTTATATGACGGCGGTCTGTATTTAATCGAGTCTGGACCAAACAATCCAGTGATTGACCACATAAGCATCGATCTACGCAATTGGGATACGATGGCATGCATCAACCAAGTCAGCGAGCCTGACCACCCGATCCCGTTAGTCGCCTCTTACGACAAGCATAGTCGCCTTTTATGGCAAGAATGGGTAGCTGAAGACCTATTCTACCCCGGATCTTCACGGGTCCGAAACCTGTAGGACGTCACTAAGGTGTATTCGTGATGCGTTAAAGATGCCCGTGTTGTATTTGAGAATAATTATGCCGTGCTGGTGTGTGTCCATATTGCCCCAGACAGTGTCCAGCTTCACTAAAGAGTGTCTTCATTGTGTTATCTTGTGCACGTATGGTGCAAAAGAGTGTCGTAATTGTGCAAGACATTGCGCTCGTCCTCATGGGGCTGAAACAAGGACTGGTCGGCTCGGAGTCAGTTTACTGAGTCTGATAGGGGTATTTATGTTAAACTGCGGCTTGGTATCTCAGAGGGCTAGCACTAAAAAAATTGCCATCAGTCCGGCAAGTACAAGCAGCCACACACGCACGCACGCCCACACGCCCGCCCGCATGCACACACGTGCATGCGCGGCGCTTTAAAAGTGCAATAAAGCGACTTCCAGATTCTATGTGTAATGTGAATGTAGGGCTGCTGAGTGATGCGTTCCTGCTGCTGAAATCAGAGGCCGTGATGAATGTGTCTGTGTCGATATGAATGTCGAGGTGATGTATGGTAGACAACACATACACACAAACAGCGGGTCGTGTCAGGTTCCCTTATCCGGGGGTGGACAGCTGTAGCCAACACGTGATGGACTGCATCGTGCAACGTCTTACTAACACCACAGTCACCGCAATGCCTGCAACACCGACATCATCATCGCAACAACGACATTAGCATTCCAATACCAGTGGCTCAACCACCAAAACACATCATCATCATTATCATTATCAACATAATCATCACCATCATCATCATTATCATCATTATCATTATCAACATAATCATCACCATCATCATCATTATCATCATTATCATTATCAACATAATCATCACCATCATTATCATCATCATCACAACAGCGACAGGGGCGGTGGGGTATAATTAATATATGTGTGTAGGATAACTAGGTTTCCTATGTAATCTTAACTGAAATTAATAGCATTAAACATCATAACAACTCTGGCACAATCTTTCATGTGTGAACGAGTAGGACATACACACTCGTTATTATCGCGATGAGTATGTCTGTCAGTTGGGTGTAACGTCACCTTGAACAGCTCTTACATAAAAGCGGTAAACGTCCCCGGCCTCTTTTATTAAACGCCACGAGAATCTAGTGGTTAAAGCGTTCGCTCGTCACGAGATCGTACACTGATGGTGAGAGATCATATACTGATGGCAAGAGATCATATACGGATGGTGAGAGATCATATACTGATGGCGAGAAATCATATACTGATGGCGAGAGATCATATACTGATGGCGAGAGAACTAATACTGATGGCAAGAGATGTAATACGGCGAGAGATCATGTACTGATTGCGAGAGATCATATACTGATGGGGAGAGATCAAATACTGATGGCAAGAGATCATATACTGATGGGGAGAGATCAAATACTGATGGCAAGAGATCATATACTGATGGCGAAAGATCATATACTGATGGGGAGAGATCATATACTGATGGGGAGAGATCAAATACTGATGGCAAGAGATCATATACTGATGGCGAGATGCTTTATACTGATGGCGAAATGCCTTATACTGATGGCGAGATGCTTTATACTGATGGCAAGAGACGTTCTACTGATGGCGAGAGGCCTTATACTGATGACGAGATGCGTTATACTGATGGCGAGATGCCTTATACTGATGACGAGATGCGTTATACTGATGGCGAGAGGCCTTATACTGATGACGAGATGCGTTATACTGATGGCGAGATGCCTTATACTGATGTCGAGAGACGTTATACTGATGGCGAGAGGCCTTATACTGATGGCGAGATGCCTTATACTGATGGCGAGAAGCCTTATACTGATGGCGAGATGCTTTATACTGATGTCGAGAGACGTTATACTGATGGCGAGATGCTTTATACTGATGGCGAGAGACGTAAATCTGATAGCGAGCTGCCTTATACTGATGTCGAGAGACGTTTTACCGATGACGAGATGCCTTATACTGATGGCGAGGGGCCTTATACTGATGGCGAGATGCTTTATACTGATGGCGAGATGCCTTATACTGATGCGAGAGATCTAATACTGATGGCGTGATGCTTTATACTGATGTCAAGAGGCCTTATACTGATGGCGAGATGCCTTATACTGATGGCGAGAGGCCTTATACTGATGGCGAGAGACGTTATACTGATGGCGAGATGCCTTATACTGATGGCAAGAGACGTTATACTGATGGCGAGATGCCTTATACTGATGGCGAGAGACGTTATACTGATGTCGAGATGCCTTATACTGATGGCGAGATGCCTTATACTGATGGCGAGAGACGTTATAATGATGGCAAGAGACGTTATACTGATGGCGAGAGACGTTATACTGATGGCGAGATGCCTTATACTGAAGGCGAGATGCCTTATACTGATGGCGAGAGGCCTTATACTGATGGCAAGAGACGTTATACTGATGGCGAGAGACGTTATACTGATGGCGAGATGCTTTATACTGATGGCGAAGGGCCTTATACTGATGGCGAGAGACGTTTTACTGATGGCGAGAGACGTTATACTGATGGCAAGAGACGTCATAGTGATGTCGAGATGCCTTATACTGATGTCGAGAGACGTTTTACCGATGACGAGATGCCTTATACTGATGGCGAGGGGCCTTATACTGATGGCGAGATGCTTTATACTGATGGCGAGATGCCTTATACTGATGCGAGAGATCTAATACTGATGGCGTGATGCTTTATACTGATTGCGAGAGACCTTATACTGATGGCGAGATGCCTTATACTGATGGCGAGATGCCTTATACTGATGTCGAGAGGCCTCATACTCATGGCGAGATGCTTTATACTGATGGCGAGAGGCCTTATACTGATGGCTAGATGCCTTATACTGATGGCGAGATGCTTTATACTGATGGCGAGATGCCTTATACTGATGGCGAGATGTCTTATACTGATGACGAGATGCCTTATACTGATGGTAAGAGACGTTATACTGATGGCGAGAGACGTTTTACTGATGGCGAGAGACGTTATACTGATGGCAAGAGACGTCATAGTGATGGTGAGATGCCTCATACTGATGTCGAGATGCCGTATACTGATGGCGAGATGCCTTATACTGATGACGAGATGCCTTATACTGATGGCGAGATGCCTTATACTGATGGCGAGAGACGTTATACTGATGGCGAGATGCCTTATACTGATGGCGAGATGCCTTATACTGATGGCGAGATGTCTTATACTGATGACGAGATGCCTTATACTGATGGCGAGATGCCTTATACTGATGTCGAGAGGCCTTATACTGATGTCGAGAGACGTTTTACTGATGTCGAGAGGCCTTATACTGATGGCGAGATGCCTTATACTGATGGCAAGATGCCTTATACTGATGGCGAGATGCCTTATACTGATGGCGAGAGACCTTAAACTGATGGAGAGATGCCTTATACTGATGGCGAGATGTCTTATACTGATGGCGAGAGACGTTATACTGATGGCAAGAGACGTCATAGTGATGGCGAGATACCTTATACTGATGGCGAGATGTCTTATACTGATGGTGAGATGCCTTATACTGATGTCGAGAGACGTAATACTGATGGCGAGAGACGTTATACTGATGGCGAGATGCCTGATACTGATGGCGAGAGACCTTATACTGATGGCGAGAGACGTAATACTCATAGCGAGCTGCCTTATACTGATGGCGAGAGACGTTTTACTGATTGCGAGATGCCCGATTCTGATGGCGAGATGCCTTATACTGATGTCGAGAGACGTAATACTGATAGCGAGCTGCCGTATACTGATGGCGAGAGACGTTTTACTGATGGCGAGAGACGTTTTACTGGTGGCGAGAGACGTTATACTGATTGCGAGAGACGTTATACTGATGTCGCGATAGACGTTATACTGATGGCGAGAGACTTTATACTGATGGCGAGAGGCCTTACACTGATGGCGAGAGACGTTATACTGATGGCGAGAGACTTTATACTGATGGCGAGAGGCCTTACACTGATGGCGAGAGACGTTATACTGATGGCGAGAGGCCTTGCACTGATGGCGAGAGACGTTATACTGATGGCGAGAGACTTTATACTGATGGCGAGAGGCCTTACACTGATGGCGAGAGACGTTATACTGATGTCGAGAGACTTTATACTGATGGCGAGAGGCCTTACACTGATGGCGAGAGACGTTATACTGGTTGCGAGAGACGTTATACTGATGTCGCGAGAGACGTTATACTGATGGCGAGAGACTTTATACTGATGGCGAGATGCCTTACACTGATGGCGAGAGACGTTATACTGATGTCGAGATTTACAACTGATGGCAAGAGACGTAAACAAATTACGAGAGACCATGTGCCAATGACCAGAGGCTGGTGCTCAGAAAGGAAGGCTGGTGCACATGTCATGTGACAATCCGACATGCGGTGTGATGTTGATATATCACACTACGCGCTACAAAGTGTGCAATATATCATTTAAGGCGTGTACGTGTTTGTCTGTTTCACACAGCACATAATTGTTTGAACTACAGAACTGGTGTTGTATCATTAAATGATTAACCCTTCAGCGTACGTGGTTTGTACCACTTCTTTCTCTCTGACACTTAACCGGTTCATCACTGTCGCGGCTGTTCATCACTGGACGTTTGTTCCGTGAGATCCACAATTTCCCACTTCTCCGATACGTGTTGCTGTCAACGAGGATTTCTATAGAATTCTGGACAAAATGATGACGTCACGACAATGGCGGTCCCAGCTGGGCATGAGACGATGGAGAAATCGGACAAGGGTCTTTATGCGTGTACTGAATGGTTAATTGCTCATCTCCCTCGTCAAACCGGATGGAAGGTGTGGGGAAGTGTCCCGACCTCAATTATAGCTGATCCCTCTCTTCAACGCTACTCTCGTTCAGCATTAACCATCAGTGACACCGTCGCTTACCATTTAGACTGCCACAGAAGAAGATCTCTTAGCCTCGCTGATCACGCACTGGTACATGATTATATACGGGCACAGTGCGCAGTCAAGTGTTTTGAATATGTACACCCCAAATGGACAACATGCATTTAAGCAGCGGGCGCAAATAGTGGCGTATCATTTACTAAATATAAAGATTTAAAAGGTTTAACGCCGCGTTCAGAAGTGTGGCTACTTGTATTAGTGCGGACTTATGCCGTTTTTATAGCTAATGCTGCGATACCATTACGCAGTTTAACATGGATATACGACTCAGATAATGTTTACTGACAGTCCTTGCTCTATCCCTTTTATGCCAAACGCCAATCGGAGTGAATCAATTAATAAAACAACCTCCACACAGACTTACTTTTCCAATTCCTTTGGGACTCGCAGTGCAAATTTAGTTATGTCCTTATACATACTGGACGTACTGTTTTTGCACTTGGTGAAGCCCCGTCAGAGTGTTACGATATGGGGTCCGGATGTCCTTATGTTACCAGGCACTCAGACTTGTATTTGGGACAGTATTGAAGACAGTATTGAAGACAGTACTGAAGAAGTCATGTACAAGATAGACATATTGCCGCTGGTCGAAAGAATTCCTAAAATAAACCCCACCCCTCCCGAAAACCGATAAAAGCAGGCTTTTGGATACATTTGTGTCTGTATTTGGTGTTGCTGTACGGCCAAAACATGCACGTGTTGACATGATTAAGACTAATTACCATTCATATGAACCTATCTGATAAATTTATTAACCATTTCAAACTGTTTCAAAACGTTTACCTTAATTCTTATATTATGCGGACCCCTTGGGCCACAAATGGCCCTCATCACACCTTGTCCTTAACCTTGAACACGAGAACCAATCGAAAACCGTTTGGAAAAAAACCTTGAATAACGTGAACCATTTTTCTGTGTTTGATGAAGAGGGGCAGTGACACACGGTCCGCTGGGACTTCCAGCAAACATTCCCCGTGTTGTATCCCTCGTACAGTTTATTGGACTGGAAATAGGCTACGGGTAATATTTCATCCCTGCGGGGAACGTTGATGGACTTTGAGATATCTTTTTCACAGTTGTTTGTTTGTGCTGTGCCTTGCAGTTACACGTATATAAAGGAGTTGCCCCTTTAACAGCACGAAGAACGAAACAAGGCACGGTGACCACAGAATCATTCGCAATTGGATGGAGCAATTCTGAGTGTGCGTATTTGTCTCATTAATCCAAGTTACATTTACACTACCGTTTAAAAACTAAAATCTAAGATGAGATAATGTTGCAACAGTCGTTTCTCAGACGCTTGGGCGAGTAATTACAGGTTTTGCTGTGAAAGCCAATCTGGAAGTAACTTGTGCATTGTCAAATCACCAGTTTCCTGTGTAGATTATTTAAGATTCATTTGCTGCATTCCCAGATCAGCTGGGTTTTTTAATCTACTTTAGGTGAGGCGATCTTGTATACATAACTATAAATCTGCAAAAGAAAGACACGATTACAACATGCGATATGCTATCTTCCCTCCAAAACAACACATGCTCGTATATACTATCTTCCCTCCAACACAACACATGCAATATTCTATCTTCCCTCCAACACAACATATGCGATATACTATCTTCCCTCCAACACAACACACACAATAAACTATCTTCTCTCCAACACAACACATACGATATGCTATCTTCCCTCCAACATAACACATGCAATATTCTATCCTCCCTCCAACACAACATATGCGATATACTATCTTCCCTCCAACACAACATATGCGATATACTATCTTCCCTCCAACACAACACATGCGATATACTATCTTCCCTCCAACACATGCGATATACCATCTTCCCTCCAACACAACATATGCGATATACCATCTTCCCTCCAAAACCACACATGCGACATACCATCTTCCCTCCAACACAACACATGCGATATACTATCTTCCCTTCAACACATGCGATATACCATCTTCCCTCCAACACAACACATGCGATATACCATCTTCCCTCCAACACAACACATGCGACATACCATCTTCCCTCCAACACAACACATTCGATATACTATCTTCCCTCCAAAACAACACATGTGGTAAACTGTCTTCCCTCCAAAACAACAGATGCGATTACTATCGTCCCTCCAAAATAACACTTGCGACATACTAACTTCACTCAGACATGATCACGGGTTGCCATCATCACTTCCACCTGATACAGATGACATGACCACGCCACGCCATCACTTCCACCTGATACAGATGAAATGACCACGCCCCGTCATCATCACTTCCACCTGATACAGAAGAACTGACCACGCCCCGTCATCATCACTTCCACCTGATACAGAAGAACTGACCACGCCCCGTCATCATCACTTCCACCTGATACAGAAGAACTGACCACGCCCCGTCATCATCACTTCCACCTGATACAGAAGAACTGACCACGCCCCGTCATCACTTCCACCTGATACAGGTGACATGACCACGCCCCGCCATCACTTCCACCTGATACAGATGACATGCCCACGCCCAGGAATCACTTCCACCTGATACAGATGACATGACCACGCCCCGCCACCACTTTCACCTGATACAGGTGACATGACCACGCCCCGTCATCACTTCCACCTGATACAGGTGACATGATCACGCCCCGTCATCATCACATCCACCTGATACAGGTGACATGACCACGCCCCGTCATCACTTCCACCTGATACAGGTGACATGATCACGCCTCGTCATC